CCGTGAACCATTAAAAGGAACAAAATGATTGCAACTCGTTTACTACATTACAACAAAGATGGCAAACACTACAAAAAATCGGTCAAAAGAAGAGATTATTACTACTGTGATTCGGGTTTTTCATGCAGAAGGGAAACATCCCACTGAAATTCAGGCAGACTTTGAAAGTGTTTTGTGAAAATTATTAATTAAATAAGTCAGTCAAATGTCTACCATTAGAGGGATTTATTTAAAGAGGGTTATGCAAATCTGCACAAAGAGCAAATTAGAGGTCGTTAACTATCTGCCAATACAGGGGAAAAGAATGCTGAACGCATTTAAAACTCAATCGTGATAACAGTCACAAAGCTCAAAATTTGTGACATTGCTGATGCCCTTGATCTTTTAAAGTCACTAGTTCACAGAACTGTCTTAAATGGGGTGGGATGGGCCAACAGTTAAAAAGTATCAACTCGATTGGTTCCAAAACAGTTGACAGATGATCACACGGCACCACAGCTCATCCGTGAGATGTTTGCACTGTATTGTTGGAACGTATCATCATCATCATCATCATCCAGTGCCAGATCTGCGACAGACATCGGCGATCATGTTTCTCCATTCATTCCTTTGCTCGGATGCTCTCAAAAAAGGTACGTTTCCTTGATCTTTCTCTCTAACCCATTTGTTTAGGTTCCCTAAGTATGTTCTTCTGGGCGCACTTCTCAAAATGGATTACACTGAGCCTGCTGGTGTTTTCCAAGAGAAACTAATGGAAACTTTCGGAATCACTCTCCTAATCGAGCCCCTGCAGGCTTTCATCTGCTGTTCTGAACAATGCAGCGATTGGCGTAAAATTCTCCAGGGGTCGCATGCATTTGTGAGGAAGCATGGTAAAATCAGGCGTTCGTCAAAATAATTGAAGGAACAGGCGATTTGCCGTGTGTTTGGCAATTTGTATCAATTTTTTTTCTTCCCTAAACATCTTTCATGTCCATTTAAAAATGCATTTCTGAGTGGATTTTACTGAAAAACGTTGATTAAAGGCGAAAAACATTAAAAATTTGTTTCACAAGGCTCTCCAGCGACAAAACTCATCAAAATTTGGCGGCCCTTTTCTCTCTATTTTTACCTCTCTGAAACCAGGCAACCCTGACCTCCATCAATTGCAAATATCTCGACTTCTATTAAAGATAGATGGTTATTTTCTAAAAACTGAAAGCAAGACAAATAAACATGCTCTAAGATGATACCAATAGCTCCATATGCCCCAAAATTGACGAGCGCCTAATTCCACCGAGTCATGACACATTTACTTATACAGGGATGGGGAATAACACTTGATTGTTCACGAGGACTACGTAGGAGGAAAAAGGGAAATGTTAAGCCAACTAATGTGAACGTTTTTTATATTTTATTTCGGGGATAGCCCTGGTACGACACCCTGATTCTTTTCCCAGGTGCACTACGGGTGTAGCTTTCTTTTTTGGAATTCGAAACGAAAGTGACAAAGAAGAAGGAACCAAGGGTCAAGGTCAAGGATGAATACAAACGCCGTGTAGTTTCCTGTAACAACGTGTATTTGAGTATTCATGCAGAGCAAATTATTGCATATAATATATACATCTATCAACACCTACATACCCTTGTTTTTCCGAATTATTACGGAACCGTAACGCATTTAAATGGTCATGAAGTCGACATTATTGCATATCATAGAAGATTCCTGCCCACCCCCAAAAGACAAAAAACAAAAACAAAACAAAAATAAACAAACAAACAAAAAAGAAAAAGCAAAGTGGAAAATAACAAAACAAAAACCAACACAAAACCCCCTAAACCACACCCCCCAAAAAAAAAAAACAACAACAACAAACCCACAGTAAAAAACACACCAAAATTCCAACAAAGACCCAAAGCAAAACAAACAAACAAACACATTAACGAATAAACAAACAAACACATTAATAATAAACAAACAAACAGAAAACAACAACAACAAAAATAAAGCATAATATCAATAAAAGAATCGCAGCTACCACAGCATACAAAACATAAACCATGTTTGCTGTAAACACATTATTTTGTTTGTCACCCTGATCGTTAAAAAGAATTCAATTCAGACATCTGATAATAATTCTTGAACAAAAAAACAACAATAACCAAACATATGTCAGCGCACAATTGCTCGAACATATAGGCCTACATACCATATTATAATGAAAACATGCAATGATAATAATACTATCATTATTATATTACTGTACAATAACCAGTCGTTTTGGGACATTTTGGCAAATTCATTTATAATTCCAGGAAAAGGGCTTTGACTTTGATTGGTTTCTCCAGAACTGTTCATTTCAATATAAAGGTTTGCCTTGCCATGCAGATTAGTTACAGGGTCACTTAATATTTTGTTACACAAACTCATATCTACTCTTATCTCTCTTTCTCTCTTTCTCTCTCTCTCTCTCTCTCTCTCTCTTTATCTCTCTCTCTCACACACGCTCTCTCTCTCTCT